AGACGGAAAGTTCTTGTCTGTGTTGAAATGCTGATGGACATTGAAATGATGAGAAAGAAGGAGGACAATCCAAGAGTGGGTTCCTGGAGTGGGCAGGGGGGCAGTGGAGCCCGGGGACGTCTGTTTCTGAGGGGAAAGACAGTTGCTACAGGGTAGCGGGAGGGCAGATGTGGAGCAGAGTATGGATGTAGGTAGGTTGCGGGTTGGATGATGGGATGCTGAGGGAGTCCTTCTGATCCTTCCATTTTTTTCGCTAAAGTAGAAAGAAGGTTCATCTGCTCAGGATGATGGGGAGCTGGAGGTGGAGCGCCCTCTGTAGAGACCAGGAGAGGGAAGTGACCAGCAATGTAGCCAGAGGGTAGGGGTTTGCGGGCTACCATAAGGGTCCAGCCGAAGTCAGAGACAGTGCATATTGAATGGTCTCCATTAGGTGGTCAGGTTCAAGTGGAGACAATGTGGATATATGATTGGTTTCCTCCAAGGCAGGGTTTCTGCCAGTTAGGGTTGGAAGGACCTTGGGCTAGGGAGTAGCTGAAGCAATGGCCCCACATGTCCAGGTTGGAGAGGGAGGATGTGAAGACGGAGGCGTAAGGAGTCTGGGACCTGAAGTCTCGGTGGTATAAAAACAGAGAAAGAAGTGGGGTGCTGGAAGGATAGGGGACTGTGGGGTCCAAGGGAGTCTGGGCGTAGCCCTGGGAGAAGGATTATACAGTGCACTGGACAAGGTCATCAGAGGTGAGGGAAACACGGAACTCGGAGGCCAGAGCATAGGATGTTCACCGCACGGACACGCTGTCAGAGGGAGCGGCAAGTCCTGGGTGGGAAGGGATCCTGTGAGCCCCTTGGCAGGAAGGCAGAAAAGAAGGAAGATGTGTCATTAGGTGGCACGCGTGGGCCCTAGCTGGGGTGCTGGGGCAGAAGGGGAGAACTGCGGGCCCCAGGGTAGTCCTAACTGCTGCTCCCAGCCTCCCCACTCGCCCCTTCCCTTCCATCTCCCCTCTCCTTCCCTCCTTCTGTTCTTACTCTCTCTTCAGATCGAAACATCCCAGTTAGAGCCTGAGATTGCCCGGGCCACAAGCAGCCGGACAGTGGTGTACAACAAGGGGCTGTGAGTGGTGGCCAGCTGGCCTGGGGATGCAGCGTTGTCCAAGCCGGAGATTAGGGGCGGGGAAGGAATCTTATGGGCTTCACCTGCAGGGAGGGGCAAGCTGACCCCACTAGTCCTGGGCCACCTGGGGAGGCGGTCTCCATCCACAGTGGTAGGGAGACTAATCTATTCACTTGTTAACATAAGGGAGAGGAATTCTGACACATTTCCTATAAAAAATAATCAAATGCATTTCTGGGCCTTACGTGGGGTTGTCAAAACTCTACTCAGCACAATTATGTGTGAAGCTGAAAAATACTGTAGAGTGCCCACTGGTAGAGTTAGGATCCTTTTATACTTTGTTTTGTTTTGTTGTTGTTGTTTTTTTATCAGAATCAAGCCTTGGTTGCAGCTGCCCAGATTCATTGCTGCTAGCAGGTGGACAGGTGGCGGGAGTAAGAGTAGGCCTGGGAGCTAGTTGTTTTAGTGGCCGTGCTGGTAGATTTAAGATATTACTGTGGCCAGGACTGGTGTCTTCCTGGGCTGGACAGGGGTGGGGAAGGGAGGGGAGGCAGTCTACACCTCACAGGATGAACCAGCTATGATTAAGGTCCTCAGGAGGTGGCCCAGGGAATGAAGGAACACTGGAGGCCTCTGGAAGTTTCCATGGGCAGCTGCCTCTCGGTGTGGCTGGCCTTTATCCATGACATACCTGCAGAACCAGTTCTTCTGAAGCCCAGTAACACACTGGGTCTGTCGTTACCCTCCATTGATCCCCGATCCCCTTGAGGCCCCTGAGAAGACCCAGCTCAAGGCAGAAAGCCTCGAGAAGGAAGAGTGTTAAGCATGGATATGCACTCTGGTGCATTTCTGCACTACGGAACATCCTTCTTTCGGGCACCAGGCTGGAAGCTTGGCACTGGGGCCAAGGGTAGGGCTGGAGCTGGGCTGACTGTCATCGGGGGAGCCTCTCCAGCCACCGAACCTGCCTGTTCCATCCTGCTTCCTGAGCAGAAGGTCTTGTGGCTGAGAGTATGGAGGCCAAATCTCTAGGCACCTGTCTGAGAGGAAGCTTCAACCCAGGAATGGCAGGCCCCGGCTCTGGCACTAATGGGCTGTGCGAGCTTGGACAAATCCATGCTCTTCTCTGAGCTTTCACTCTCTGCTCGGAACCAGAAGACTGGATTGAGAGGTTCCCACCCACTCTTCCTCGTCTTTGCCTGTACTACGCAGATGCTGGTCATCTCAGGCACATCCCGGCGTGGACACTGAACTGGGAAAGGGGTGGGCCTCTTTGGGAATGGCTAGCATTTGGACTCAGAACCTGGACTTTTCCCTGCTGTATGTGACCCCACATCCTGCGAGCACTTGACCTTTGCCAAACACTTTACAGCTCTGAAAGAGGAGGTAGCGTGATGCCTGGGCCTGAGTGGAGGGGCGGGGGGAGAAGAGGCACACCCACATGCCGCCTCTCACCCTGCACTGGCCTTGAGGCCCTTTGCTGCTGGCTGCTGTCCCTCTTCCATTTGCAGGCCAGGAGAGGGGAGAGCTCTGCAGAGGAAAGCAGGGCCTGAGGTGGGGGTGAGCAGGGTACCCCCTCATCTGAAAGGCCCGAAAGAGAGGAAACACGAGACTGAACACACCCCTCCCCTGACCCCAACTGGAATGAGCCCTTGACATGCAGCTCCAGGGCCTCGCTTCCCTTGGTGACTCCACCTGCGAGAGACCTGACTGGAGGTGAACACGTGCATGTGCAGGAAGAGGCTGGTGCAGAGCGGTGAGGGCATGGCCACCGGCTGCTCTCGCTATCCTTAGGGTGGGGGGAGTTGTGGTGAGGTGGGTCTTCCACAGGCATCGATACCATGCACCCCCCGCCCAGAATCCCCTGCTGCCCTTACCTTGCCAGGCCCTGGGAGCCGCCCAGCTAGCTCCGCAGGATGTTGCACTGAGGGCCCCTCGCTCTTCCCCATCAGGAAGGGGAGAAGGCAGAGACAAGCATGGAAGACAAAACAGCAGAAGGAAGGAGTGTCATGGTATTGGAGGGGCAGGGCAGGTATTTTTTTAGCTACTCCCACCATAATGTGTCAGTGATTGAGGGCCGGACATGTCTGAGTCCTCTTTTGCAAAGCCCACTTCAAGCTCACCCTGCCCCACCTCTCAACGAGTCTTTTTCTTGTGCACTTTACCTTGGGATTAGAACTGCCCACCCCAACTTCACTCCCACCACGTCCAGAGGCCTGGCAGAGATGAGGTCTCTCCAACTCAACCCTCTGTGCTGGCTACCTGAACCAGCTCCACCCCAGTCCCAGCCCTATGGCCCCTGCATTTCATAACCTACTTACTTTGTCTCCTGGATGATTTCCAGTCATGCTCCCAAATACAATTTCAGGTCAGCTAAAGGGGCTCCTCCTGGTGGGGTGGTGGTGGCAAGTGATCCTTATAGCTTGGGTGATGGTGACAGAGATTTAGCAAGCCATGCTGCCGAGCCCTGGTCTGGTTACGGAGAACACTGTGAAGGGAAACTTTCAGCCAACATCCATCCCCTACTCTGCTGAGGCCAGAGGAAGGCAGGCCTCATGGGAAGATTGTTTCATGACAGGGGAGCAGGCCGAGCCATGACCCACAGTCAGGGTAGGGCTAGTCCAGCGGTGCCAGAATCCAGAGCATACCTGCAACTTGTTCTTCAATACTGGTGTATCTGCCCGACCCTCCTCCAGTCACTTCAAACTATCCAGAAGGCTTGGGGATGCCTTCTCCCATTTCCAGGAAGCAATCTGAGTGTGCAGGGACCGAAAGCCCAAGATGTCAAGATGGCCGACAGACCCCTTTACATTTCCTGGTGGTGGGTTATTTCCTGTCCTGGGCCTCTAGCTTGGCAGAAGGTGGGGTCCTGTGAGGAGAAAGGCCAGTGAACAGAAGCAAGGTGGTTTCCCAGCCCTGGGCCAGTGTGAGTAAGGGACCAGCACACATGCCTCAGCCATACAAGTTACTTTGCAGTGTCTTTTTAACCTTCTCAGAAAATTTCTTAATCCCTGTGATTTGTGTAATACTAATGAACTGTGGGTAATAAATGATGGCTTTAAAGCATCAGGGCTTCGCTTTGTGTATTGTGGGTGGGAGAAGTAGGGGCACAGAAACATGGTGGGACCAATTCAAGGGCTGCCTGAGGATTTTGTGGGCAGGCTTCTGAAGAAGGTGTAGACACAGGCTCAGGAGGGGTCAGGCCCCCTGGGAGGCCCAGAAGGAAACAGGCAGGAAAGGATGGAAGATCATGTAAGGACAGGAAGCTGGGCAAAGGGGGTGAATTGAAGTTCTGCAGAAGGAACCCCCTTTACAAAACAGTTGTTGAATGCCCACTGCAAGGAACTGGAGTAGATATGGAATTTTTGTAGATTTTCACACTGTATATCCAGGGGCAGGCCATCCTGGACTGCCCGGGGGCCCAGAGAGGCTTCACAGGGAGGAAAGGTTTGAGGCGAGTAGAAAGATACCCAATGTCCCCTCCATGCCCAGTGCCAGCCCTGGGAGCTCTGCCCCATCTAACTCTTCCAAAGCCCCTGGGGGCCAGGCCTTGGCTGCCTCCCGATGGCTCTGGCTCCCCCACTTCCAGGCAGCCTTCGGAATCCTGAGGGAGTGAGGCCAGGCATCTTCTCCGGGACCTCCAAGCATCTTCCACTCCTGCAGGGAGAAGCCGATGGCTTCCCAGGGCAGGAAGACTTTGTAGTAGAGGTGGGGTCTGCAGCTGAGGCCAGGCCATCTCAGGTTCCGGCCTCGGCTTGACCCCAACATGACTCTGACCTCTAGCCTTTATTCACCCATTTATTCGGTCAGATGTTTGTGGGGTATTTTTTTAGCAGAGCCTTGGTGTCCTTCACTATAAAATGTCAAGAACATCATCACTCGCTGGACTGGTGTAAAGAGATTGGAGAGACCAGGTGAGGAACTCACCCAGACACTTATCTCACCCTTCCCAGAGTCAGGGGTATTGGGCCTCCCTAGGGGGTGGGGTGGGAGGAAGGATAGGGATAGGGGAGGGAACTGTTCCCAAAGCGATACTTCTAAGTGGGGGGAGGGGCTTCTGTCTCTGGGGAATTTTTGCTAAGAGCCCCACTGGTCATAGCCCCCATCCAGGTTGGCAGAAATCCTTGACTCTCAGGACAGACACAAATCCCTCCTGGGAGCTGTTTGTTGTTTTTAACTGGTCTGGGGGCTCAGCTCCTACCCAGCCGGAGATCATTAACACTCCAGGAATGTGGCTTCCTCTGGTCTTCTCCCCAGCTGCTGGCCCCTAAGGCCTCCCTCCTCCCACTCAGGCCACGGTCAGGGGAGTCAGAATGCGAGAGGATGAGGGCAGCGATGAGTGACTTTCCCAAGGCTCTGGTGATTCCAGCATCATTTTCAGAATGGAGCTTCCCTCAGTCTCCAGAGCTGCTGCTGCTCCCTGCCATCGCACCCATCCTCTTGCCACTGATTGGTCCCCAAAACAGGAATGTCTCAGCCACTTCCTGCAAGGCCTAACCCTCATATGCCCATCCTTCCGTTAGTACCAGGTGTCTCTCAGGGAAGTAGCTGAGAAGTGTTCCTTCTCCATGCCCCACTCAAAAGTGAGGTAGCTGTTGGCAGCCTTGTCTAATGTCAGAGCCTGACTCCTTCCCCACAAGGACACCTCCTCAGCCAGAGCAAGAATCTGGGGCCCTGTCTTACCCTGGTTCCCCGGGCCTTATGGAGGGGTGGAGAGAAAGAAGGCGAGAACAAAAAGGGGAAAGCGAAGATAGACAAATGGGCAAACAGGAAGAGGCAGCAGATGCTCCCCCTTGAAGACCTCATGGAAATCCAGCAAGGAAGTGAGGAAAAGGGCCTCTCATCAGTCCCCAGCCACCTGAGCTGGTTCTCCTTCTCTTCACAGGTAAGCAGGGCAGAGGGAGGGACAGTGTGGCAGAGCTCTCGCTCCCTCCAAGGGTGAGCTGCCGTAAGCTCAGTGTTGTTAGAGAACAGTGGGCAAGACACTGGAGGCAAAAGTGGGCCAGCTGCTGCAGGGTCAAGGACAGCTGGGAGCCACCAGAGGCTTTCAGCGGGGAAGTGGATTCATCTGGCAACAGAGTAGAGTGTAGCGTGGACCAAGGCAAGACTGCTGGGAGACCAGGGAAGAGGCCACTGTGGTTGTCGAGGTGAGGGAAGATGAGACCTGGACCAGATAGGGGGATGGGGATGGAGAGCAGAGAAGAGATCAGGATTACTCAGCTCTTGGTGATTCCTTGTAGGGAGGGTGGCAGAGAGGAGTCAAAGATAGCCCTAAGTTCCTGGCTTGGGCAGCTGAGGACATAGATGGTGGTGCCATTTCTCAGCGCTAAGAAACAGAGAAGGAAGAACAAGTTTTCAGAGAAGATGATGTGTTCTGTTTTACAAGTTAATAGAGGTTCCTGTGAGATAACCAAGTTGAGATGTCTGGAACTCAGGAGGCGGGCTGAGATTGAATATGTAGAGTGGCATGTGGTCCGTTTGTTGAGAGCACGTGGAGCTAAAAGAACAGCGGCAACCACCCAGGGGAGTGTGTGGGGCGAGAAGAGGAGGACCTGGGATGACACCTCAAGGGGGCCCCATCTCCAAAGCCTGGGCAGAGAGGAGGCTGCTAAGAAGTTCAGCCACAAGAAGAGTGTCATGGGCTGAATTGTTTCACCTCCCAAATTCATATGTTGCAGTCCCAATCCCTCATACCTCAGAAAATGACTGTATTTGGAGGTAGGGTCTTTAAAGGCGTAATTAAGTTAAAATGAGGTTGTTCTAATGAGTGAGTTCTAATCCGATATGACTGTTGTCCTTATAAAGAAGAGGAAATTTGGACAGACACGTAGAGAGGGAGAAACCATGTGAACATGAAGACAACCATCTGCAAGCCAAGAAGAGAGGCCTCAGAAAAAAACGACCCTGCTGGCACGTTGATCTCGGACTTCCAGCCTCCAGAACCGTGAGAAAATTTCTGTTGTTTAAGCCACCCAGTCTGTGGTACTTGTCACGGCAACATTATAGAACTAATGCAAGAGGTAGGAGGAAGATGACAGCATGGTGTTCCAGAGGACAACGGCATGCTTCAAGTAGGAGGGGTTGCCCACATACTTGGTAGGTGCTGAGAGTTGAAGGAAGATGAAGACCAGGGCGTGTGCCTTGGAAGGACCTGCAGAGGATGGTCTCAGTAAAGTGTGCTCAGGGCAAAAGCCAGATCTTTGTGGATTGAGAAGTTAGCAGGACTCCCACTGACTGCCAGTGTAGATAATTCTTTAAAGAAATTTGATTGTGAGTTGGGCAGAGAGACATGGGGCTTTATAAAGGAGGGCTTTAAGAGGGAGACTCTTGGGCCTGTCAAAACTCTAATGGATGAGAGTAGAAGAAAATGTAAGGGCAGGAAAAAGGAAGAACCACCCCGTTCAAGGAAAATCTTCCTTGAGGAGAGAAGAGTCTGGGGTGGTCACAGGAGTCAGGTGGAGAGGACGGATTGGATGCAGGCAGCGTGGGAAGTTGAGGGGTGAGAGGCCAGTTTCCCCGGCCCCTCCAGATCCACTTTGCACCATTCTCCACCAGCAGTCCATCCCAGGAGGCTCACTCAAATGGACTTGACGTCTGGCTCCCACCACTGGGAGTCACCAGCAGAAACTGGAGGATCGGAGCAGAGTGAGACTAAGGGATTTAGTCCCCCTAGCCTCTCCTGCAGTCTGTGGGCCTCACTACTGAAGGTCACAGCTCCATTTGAGGCCCTCTCCATCCAGCTGTCCTCTCAGGCTCTGGTAACTGCTCCTACCCATTGCCCCTACGGGCCTAAGGGCCATGTGGGCTCTTCCCCATTGTTGCTAGCCGTGGGGTACTGCAATATTTCTCGTTGACTTGCCCAAATCCGTTAATCGTTCCTTTATTCAACTCTCAAAGTGCCCCATTTCAAGGGACCGTCTCTTCTTGCCAGGCCCGTGACTGATATGAAGGTGTTTCCTTCCAGTGCTGCTTTTTCCTCCCTGAAGATGGACGTCCGCTGCTAAGGGTAAGGGAGAGAAGAGGTATGGGGAGAAGGGTGACCATTTGAGACATTCCCTGTGGAGTACGGGGATGGGCTTAACCGGGACGAGGCCTCAGCTGAGGCTGGAACCTCAGACTTCCAGGGTGCCATTAGCAAGCTTGCCCGATGTCCTCACAGCCTTAGCTATAAGGACAAACAGGGAAACAGGTTCAAGCGAGGTTGCGACTTTGCCAGGCAGGTGCAACTAAGGAACAGTGGGACAAGGGGCTGTGGGAGAGCAGAGAGGGGCCCGTGAGGTCAAAGCACAGATGTAGGGGAACACTGAGCAAGTGAGTGGGAAAAAGCTGGGGTCCGATAGGAAAGGACATATGAATGTGATTCAGAAAGAAGCTGCAATTCTGGGCTCTGACAAGCCCTGAGACTGGGCGGTGATGAGGAGAGTAGGGGAGGAGAGGCTGGGGTGCTCGGCGGGTTGTCTACATGGCCCCCCAGGTCTTGGGGAGACAGAAAGCCCATAAGCTGATAGCCACAGTCTCTGACAAATGAGGGGGTGGGACTGGGACACGCAGCCACACACTGCCCACGTGCACAGCCGCACGCCCACACACACCCACACAGTCACACTAGCGCACACACACCCACAGCCCTCCCAGACACCCTCACACGCACTCACCCTCACACGCACACCCCAGACAGCAGATGGGGCGCCCGGGTAATTGGTTAAACCTGTTCCGATGTCTGGCTCCGCATTGGCAGCGCCTGTCTGACAGGAAAGCTGGCTGGGCCTGCTCCGCTCAGCCTGCTGGCCTCCCTGCCCCTCCCCTTTGCATGGCTGCCCTGGAGCAGGGGCTTGGGAGAGGCCTGCGGGCCCGGCCTGGCTCCCTCCTGGCCAGAACCCCGTTCACAAGGCCAGGGTTCCACACGCCTGTGGGAAGCAATCATAGCACCCGTGACGAGGAGTTGGTGTAAACTGAACGCTGAGATGCTAAGGACACGAGCCATGCGGCTGCAGAGGCCAGAAGGACGAATCCCGGCAAATTCTATGGTCAAGAGGTTGTGTAATCAGTCCCCGAATGTGAGGCACCGGGCTTAGGCCACGAGAATGAGGAACAGCTCCCCTGTGTTCCCTCCTCTTCAGCCGCATGCAACTTGGGGTTCTCACAGGTGCTCATCACACCTCAGCCCATCGAACTCTGCAGGGCCCAGGAGGCCATCCTGGCTGAGGGGATAAAACCCACCAGGCTGTCTCAGGGAAGGCCTGGCCCAGACGCTACTGCCCACCAGACTGGTCCCCACCCCCGCAGGCTCTAATTTCCAGGGGGAGGAAGAGTCACAGGAGGGAAGGGAGCATCATTCCTGGGCTTCTTCTCCCCTTCCCGGCTGCATCTGTGTCTCTTCGAGAGAGACTTTGGTTTGTTCCCTGGAGAGGGCCCAAAAACTCCCAAATTAGCAAACCTGGCAAGCCCGCAGCTCAGAAAATAGTTCATCCTGATTCCATGTTTTTCAGGCTCACAGAAGCCTTTATTAATGAAGTCACAACACCAATATTTACCGTCTGCAGGGAGAGGCACAACATGGGGGATGGATGGGAGTATGGTGAGACTCCCGCCCCGCCCCCTGCAGGCCTGGCCTAGGAAGATTGGCAGGTTTCCTTGGGTCCTTTCCAGCTCTTTATCTGGATGACAGGGGGTGTTTTGCTGTGATCTCCCTGTACCCCTCCCCCACCGAGTGAGAAAGAATCTCAAGAACGGGCTCACCCACTCCTCTGCCCCCCATTAGTGCCAAAAGGATGCCTCCTCTTCTCACCCCCAACCCAACCTGCGCACACATGTTCCCCAGAGGTCACCCCAGCTGCCTGACAGTGAGAGAGTCCACCCGAGGTTTAACTGGGCCTTGTCAAGGACGTTAGGGATGTGTTTTTCTCGTCAATGGGGGAAGGGGCGTCAGAGTGGGACAAAGCCCTTTGGTTTCTAGCACTGACTAGTCCCAAAGTGAGATGTTGATAGACCCAGCAAAAGTACCTTCTATGTTTGGACCCCTGCATGTGTCCCAGGCAACAAGGCTGGGCCTTTGACATCTTTCCAATAACTTCAACATCGATCTAGTTCCCCAGGACATTCCAGGTACCAAGAACAGCACACGGAAAGGCACAGTGCAGGCAGAACCCCTGACTCCCTGGAGGACAAGGATGACATGGGTGAGACCGAAGCAGAGGGCAGCAGGAGCAAGGTAGGCGAGGTCAAGGGTGGAGAAGTGCGGGCAGAGTGTGGGGCTTAAGAAGTGGGGGACATGGTCCTATATGGGCTTGAGGAAGAGAACCCTAGCCATAGCATCAAGGTCCTCCTTTGAAATGGGCCTCATCTTTGACATCCACATAAACCTGATTATGCCCACCACTCTTCCTCTCCCTTCCCTACTTCCTTGTTTCCCAAGGGAGAAGAAACCTTGGCCATTTGCCAAGGTGGGCAATCCTGCAGGAGAACAGGCGGGGAGGTGTGTTATCTGTGAACGTGTTGGGTTTGAGGTGCTGAGGGGCATGGAGTGCAGCAGACACCTGGCGGCTGGCTTGGTGGGTCTGCAGCTCAGTTGGAGATCTGCTGGAGGCTTAAATCTGGAAGCCAAAAAGTCCTGGCTGTGGATTCAAAGCCCCAGGCTGAAGGCACAATGAGGAGAAGGACTGACCCTGGGGTGGCCAGAAGCGAAGAGGCGAGGACAAGCCTGGGGAGGGACTGGGAAAAGCAAGAGAAGGTGTCAGAGATACAGGAATGAAAGCAGGGAGAGTTGGGGGAGTCAGGGAGCAATGGCCAGAAGATTGGGGAGCAGGTGAAGGCTGATGGGAGGCAGATGAGTTTGGCCACAAGGGGGTGGTGCTAACTGTGATTGGTGTCCGTCATCGCTATCAGCAGAGGATTGGGGAGCACTTGGGAGGTGAAGTAGAGACAGGTCTGGATGTCATAAGGAAAGGTTGTTAGGAATACAGGTTTGTTTTTTGTAGGATGAAAAAACCTTGGTGTGTGACAAGCAGGAAAGACAAGTGGACAAATTAAAGGGCGGGTGAACTAAAGAGCTTGGTGTGCCCTGCCTTGAAGCTCTTTCTTTGGGCACTGGTGGCAGGCCCAGCCTCCAGCCCTGTCTCTGAAGCTTTAATCTGCACGGAAGGGGAGTCTCCAGGGACAAATGAGCATCCTGCTAGGGCCAGGACTTGGGGCTGGTACTGTTAGTTTCTGTGAAGGGCGCCCCCTCCACTCAGCCCTCAATGCTCCCCATTTCCTCTGGTTTCTCCTCAACTGGAGACACCAGCAGAGTCTCTAAGCATGGGGAAGTACGCACACTCGCTCTCTCCCCTGACCCACCTGGGCCTGACTCTCATCGCTCAAAGTTTGGAAAGACCTGAGCATAGCCTCCCTCATATACAAGGCGGTCCTTCCCTATGTCTAGTCTCAGTTTCTCTTGTTGTGGAGTTAGAGCTAGAGACCAGGTCAACCACCAACAAAGGAAGGGAGTTAGTAAATTGAGTCTCAAAGGCCCCATCCCAGGCTCCCAGGCTCTGAACAAGCTTACTCTGCCAGACCCCACTGGCCCCCAGAGCCAGGATCCACCACTCCAGGCTCATGGGCTCTGGAGTTGGAGCTGGATGCTCATGTCATTAAGAGAGAGACTTTTATTGTTCCCATAGGGAAGGGAGACACAGGGGATCACGAAGAACTACAACGGGCACCTGGAAAATAAATTAAAGCAGAAATGCATCAAAACAAAAAGAAAATAAGAGAAATGGAGAGTGGCTGGGAGATGGCAGTGGCCGATGGCCTGCCCAGGCAGGCAGGCAGGCAGGCAGGCTCTCCGTGGAAAAGATCAAGCAGTCCCAGGCCTCAGCCAGCCCATTTCTTGTCCCTCTGTCGGCGGTAGCCCCAGGCTCCAAGCCCTATGGGACTGGAGCTTGAGGTCTCCCCACAGCCCGACTGGGGAATGGCCAGAGTCCAGCTGGGCCCACCCAGGGGCCTGGCCAGCAGCAAGCAGCACTCTGCCCTCATGGGTTCGTGGCCGCCCACCCTAGTCATTGGAGGTGACATCGATGTCCTCCCCGGTGGCCTGCTTGGTGGCGATGCGCCACCGGTTGATGTGGTGGGAGCCCTTCTTCTTCTGCTCCGATTCGGGCCCTTCTTCCTCCAGCTTCTGCCGCTTGTACTTTGTCCTTCGGTTCTGGAACCACACCTTTACCTGAGCCAGGGAAGGAAGGGCACAGATGAGAAACACCCAGGAGGCCCCCAGAGCAGCTACTAGGGCCTCAGCACTCGTGCTGAGCTGGGAGCCAAATGGGGAAACCGAGGCCAGGGTCCTCTCCTCTGGCCAGTTGTCACCTGATGGGTCTGGAGGCCTGCTGGTCTGGGAGAGGACACAGTGGACCAGAGAGGGGCAGTTTTCTTGTCCCTCTCAACAGAGGAGAGGGAAGGGTCAAGGAGCAGCGGAGCATCCTGAGCATCCTATAGCCACAGCACAACAGAGCAGGGAGGCGCAGGCTCTGCAGCCTGGCAGACCTGGATCTCTGCGGGTTTCTAGAGAGGAGATAATGATCGCTTCTCCTCAGGGTTGACGGGAACAGTAAACGAGAGAACATATGAAAAGCCATCACATGCTCCATTGGTCGTCTCTCCTGATCATGCAGTTTTTTACTTGGTCTTGCAGAGCCAGGCCAGACCAGATTATTTTGAGTCAGTGGGAGAGGCCTGTGTGCCGATCCTCTGCTAAGTTCCTTCTCCTCTCTGGGCTTAAGTCCCTGGTCTACAGGAAAAATGTTTTCTGGGGCCCTTGCAGCTCCAGGGCACCTCCTGGGCTTTTGCTCCAGAGGGTCTCTGGGGGAGGTGATGCAGACTGGGTAGGGTTACAAGGCATGGATGGTTTCCTGGAAAAGACAGCACATTTAAAAGCAGCTAGTGCCAACTGCAACTGGAGCGATCCAAGGTACCCATGTGGGTGGTGAGTGGTGAGTCGTGTGTGTGGAATGATGGTGAGCACCTTGCTGTGGCGGCAGCAGCGACTGCTGAGGGGAGATCTTTAAACCCTGGGCAGGGCCAAAGGCAGTCCTGAGAAAGACTACCTGGTCTTACCCCTGAGAATGGTGAAAGGCACAGGCCTTTACCATAAAGACATGCAGTGGTAGCCCAAAGCAGGCCTGGCATCCAGGCCCAAGGGAGCAGTTTCCTGCCCACCCTCACAACTCCCAGACACTCCTCTCTGTCCTTTCCATGTAGACCACCTAACCCGGGGTTAACCACCCCCCCTCAAAGGTTTCCACAGCACCATCTGCCCTGCCCCTTGATTTTAGAGCACTAGGATCGGGGTGGGGATAGCCAGTGCTAGTGCTATGCATAGCGGCCAGCCAAGGACAGGAAGAGGTGAGGGTCCTAGCCTCAGGGGGGATGGAATGAGGAGAAGGCCTTCTTCTCTCATTTCTAGGCCGGGGTTCAAATTCTTCACCTGCGTGGCTCACATCAAGTAGATGGAGAAGATGGCAGGTGTTCTAGATGCAGGGCTTCTGGATTCCATGCCCACCTTTCTTTGGGTACAGGGCTGGCTGGGCCCTGGGTGGTTCTCAGCATAACCATCTGGCAGTCAGCCTGGCCCCTTCCCCCCTCCCGCCCTGAAGCCTGCTGTGACTGTGCCATTCAGTAGGCGGGTGAGCTTACCCTGCCTGCTGTGCAAGGCATGTGTGTGAGTCAGGTCTGGATGCTGGGCTGGGGTAGCACTCCTGAGAGCTCAAGGGGTTGGCCAAGGGCTAGGCATGGCCGCCTGGTGATGGGGTGATACGGGATAGCTCTGGACAGCACCAGGGACAGAGAGCCCTTTTCTGTACCTTCTCCCTTACACACATTCCCAAGGCTCCTTCCAGGAGGGAGACTCGCCTGTAGTGGGATGGACCCAGTCTTCTACCCTTGCCCGGCATCATTGGCCCAAAGGATGGAAGCTTTAATGGTGGAACTTCAGGCACAGGGGCAGCTTCCTGGCATACTCAAATGAAAGGTGATTTTTAATATTTTCTCCATGAAAACAACCGGGATCAAGGAGGCAGCTATCTAGAAATAGGTCTGTAAACCCTCTCCTCAGGCAGCCTGGCTATCTTCTGGAGAACAGCCTTGGGCCGAGTGTCCAGATGCTGTTTACAAAGACAGCATAGTAACAAGGGGATGCTTATGACTAGTAAAAACGGCAGAATGCACAGTTTGGGCACAGCGCGATAACAACCATGAAAAAACAAAATCTATACACGGGGGGAAAAAAAATAGAAGGAAATGTACCCAAAGTATGGGTGACTTTTCTTTCTTCTTTCCACTTTTCTGAATTTTCTTTAATGCATTACTGATAACAATTCAGTTATTTTTTACTTGGAAAAGAAAAAAAAATTGGGCTTTGAGTGTAGTAAGAGTGACATAAGAGTGACACATGTGACCTTTTTAACCCAGCTAGACAACTCTGAGGTCACCCCAGAGCCCCTTCCCTAGAGGACAGAGGACTTAGAAGGAACTAGGGCACATAGTGTGGCTACCAGCTCCATGGGAGCCAGCCTGAGGAGGCTGTGCTGCTTCTGAACCTGTCTCCCCCACAACCCCGCAACACCTACACACCTCTCTCTAAGCCCCAAAGGCACAGTTGGGATGTTGGCTAAAGGAACCCCTCACTCATCTGTGACCCCTCAGGATTTGGATAGGTTCCTTATGGTCTCCCAAGTCCCTACCTCAGTGAACGTTTCTCAGTTTTTCAGATAAGCCAGGCCCTTCCAAGATTCTCCGCTTTTGCCTGAGTTACCCCACTGAGATACTCTTACTTAGCCTTCGAAACCCTGCTCAGATGTTCTAAGACTGGACCTGCCCCATCTGTACTTCCTTAATACTTTCTCTATCTCAGTAACAGTGACCCCGGCAGTGCACAAATTTATTTGCTCGAAACTGTCTCCTCACCAGACTGTGGGAACCTGGAGAACCAAAGCGGTGAGTTAGCCTGCTTTGGAGTCCCAGCGGACACATTCCAGGGCTGTTCAGCCAGCTGGGCAGAGATGAGGTGATCCAGCCCTATGATCTGGGCCAGACCTGAAAAACAGGAGAAAATCAACGGCAGAGTGATTGAGGACTAACCAAAAAAGGGGTTTGGGAAGTGCTAATCGCTGAAGAGATGGGCTCCTTCTTTGGCTTAGTTCAGTGGACACTTATATAAGATGGTCAATTCTTAATTCTCTATGTTCTGGATTGGATTAACCACTGGTAGAGGGGAGCTGGGGGAGGGAGACTTATTATTGGGGGAAACAAGGGTCAGCTTGAGTCAGGCAGGATGAAGTAGGTGAAACTGCTGTGGATGAATGAATGAATGAATGCATCAATGCATTAGCAGATTGATCAAGGTATGCATTAATGAATGAAGGTGTTTATGTATTAATTCATGAGTGAATGGACAAATGAACTAACAAATAAGCAAACTACAGCTCCAGCCCCTATTTCAGACTTTATTTTTGAACAATCTGCTGTTGAAATAAACCAAGTCTGGACCCCTTCTTTTCTACCACTCCTCAAACCTAGCCCATCCCAAATGAAAGGGTCTGTGGTTCCCGCCCCCTGAATACTTTTAGGTGAATATCTGTCCTCACCTCAAGGATTTCAGATACCCCTGTCAAGGGGTACTTGAGTCTTGTAACTCTGACACAAGAAGTTCCTCCTTATGTCCTGTTATCTCTTCTGCTTTAATTTAAGCCTGTGTCCTCTTGGTCTGTTATTCTCAGACACAGAGAAAGTCCTCAGACCACATAGAGGCTTGGAGACATCAATCAAGCCACTCTCTCAGCCTGGAGATCCATTTCTTATCATTTGATCATGTAAGCTGCTCCCACTCTAAAGTCGAGCTCAATGCCATGCTAAGCTCCTCACCCCATCAAACTGAGGTCAGCTGTGACCCCCCCATCAACCATAGCCCTAACTCTTTCTAAGCCCTGTTATCTTCTCTCTCAGACCATCCAGGATGCTTGCCCTCACTCTCAGGTGAATCTCACAAGATTCACCTGGCTCCTCGGAACCATGTCCTCAGAGAACTACTCTAGTCTTCCTTATCTTCCCTGCCCCCTCCTGCCTCCCGCTGGACTCCTAGAACTTCAAAGGTGCTGACGTTCTTGGAGAAGACCTAAAACTTAGAGAAGGGATGAGTCCATCTCCGAACACACAGTGAGCTAGTAACGAAGGTCTCTTGACCTTCTCTAAAATTCAGGTCACCTGGATATCTCTCTCTCATCCATCCCTAAAGGCAGAGTATTCCAGAGCAGGAAGGGACCCCAAGAAGTCTCCATACCATGCCCCTAGGGGAAAAAACCCATGTGCAGGTGACCACACACCTGCTTCCTAAGACCTCTCTCCATGCTCTCTGGCTCCAAGATAGTGGCCAGACTGACAACTCCTGCTCTTTCTTAATCTTCCCACCTCAAACCCTTTCTTTCCTTCCCACCAACCTAGAGTCCTGTGCATCCTCCAAGACTCCAGGACCTGAGGCCTCCTGCAGTTCTCCTGACCTCCCTCAACACACACCTATGACTTCAGGGGGACTCACATTGCTCAGTCTGTGCATGTCCCATAAGAGTACACACTTTGCATTCAGGTCTCACCACTAAATGAGGAATCTCCAAGGCCAAGCAAGGAGCACACTTCCACACCCTTTCCCCTCACAGCTCAGCTACACTCAAAGCCAGAAAAGGTCAAGAAGCACCTGCTGAAGTGTTCAGAAAAGGAGAGGCAGCTGGAAACAGTACCCAATCGATCAGCCTAGAACAACCAAATGCTTTCTGTCACTCCCCTTAAAATTAATGTGCCCCCCTTACACAGAAGCTCACAAGTTGCACTCCTTGCTATCCGATGGCTTACTGGCCAGCATCTAATGTGTGCATATAATATCACCTGACCTTTGGGCATCGGTCACGCTAAGCCCATATATGCCCTACATTGTGGGCACACAATGTTACACATAGCCATCACACACACACATGCTCACTCAACTTGCACTCATGGTTCTGATCTGACCCCACCAGCCGCCACAACTGAACTTAGATGGGCATAATCTGGGTCAGACTCTAGGGCTGCACCACAGCAGTAAAGAGCAACTGATCAGAGCCAGAAGGGAGAAGGGCCTGGGGCCCCTCCCTCCACCTCCTGGATGGACCTTCAGCCTTCCCAGCACAAATACCCTACTCCCAACCACACATACGTCTCTGCCTCAACAAAGAAGCTCAGGGTGCCCACCTCTCAACACTCCATGCTAAAGCTGCAGGCATACAGAGACCCCTGAGCTCTGGATTAAGACCCACACACTGATTTGCTTAACCTTCTCAGGAGCTTTATCCATAGATAAAACTAGATCATCTAGATCAACAACCTAGATGAAAGTGCAAGGGAAAGATAAAAAACAAAGGGACAGGGAAGGAGCAGTCACAGCAGAGAGCAAGGGAAATGATTGATAAAGTTAACATTGTGTGCAACCAAGAGAAGTTTGCCCATTTATTTACATGTTTATGGAGCACCTATTGCTTGCTGGTCACTGAACTGGGCGCTGGGATATAGCAAGAAATAGGAAGGCTTGCCCTCTGCCTCCCAGAGCTGAGATGCTCAGGCCTATTGTTTATTGAAATCACCCAGAAAGCTGTTGTAAAAACTTTTCTGGGTCCCATCCTGGAATTCCTAAGAGAATCTCCTAAGTGAGGCCCAGGAATTTGTATTTTAAGATTTGTTTGCACGGTAGATATAGCCTGTCTACAGACTAACATTTGGATGTGGCAGACAACTAGACAATAGCAAAGTCCTGTGCATATTATGATATGTGGGAGATATACCATGAACTCTGAGGATTTGGCGGAAGACTTACACAGAAACACAGAGAAGTAGAATATTGATAAGCCAGAAACTTGGGGCTGAAAAGAACCCTGGATTTCATTTCATTAAATCTTACAGATACAGATACTGAGGCCCAGAAAGAAGACAAAGCCAGAGCTGATGAGATGATAGATAACCATAGATAACCATTAGCAGACATAGGAATATACTATCTGTCAGTTGCTAATGGATCTATAAAGATGGAAGTTTGAGGTGGATGCTGGATATATAGAAGATAAACAAGACAGATGATAAAGAGATAACCAATAGTTGAGTAAATAGAAGTTATGTTAGGAAGAAGATTATAATTAATAGAAAATAGGAAATATAAATTGAACAGCTTTGGGGAGGCAGTTTAATGAGAGCAGACAGAAATACATGGCTAGATATAAAACAGCTATCTGTGAGGCACAGATTAGAGAGCTTTGAGAAATAAATATAGATATTGACAGTAGAAATAGATGGCAGGGGGCTGATGGGACTGACTGATAATTGACAAGTAGCTGATAGCTGAAATGGCAGATTAGCTTGCCTGGTAAGTAAAGATGGATAGGTAATTAGTTAATGCTATAAGTTGGGTCCAAATGATAAGTTATGAGAGGGACAGAAAGACAGCTCTGATAATATAGGAGACTGGACATAGCAGAAAGAACACTGGACTAAGGAGTCAGAAATCCAGGTTTGGATCTTATTACGACACCAACTTGATACATAACTTTAAATAAAGGGAAAGGAAGGACTAGGGATGAGAATTAATATTACTCGAGTTCACATTAGGTGCCTTTAATTCTTAACCTATTTTCTGAATGAGGAAACCAGAGCTTAGAGAGGTTGAGTAACTTGCCCAAGGTCACACAGCCAGTTAGCAAAGAGGAGGATTTTGAAATCGCATCTGCCTGCCTGGCAAGCTCTTCCCTGTCTCTTCATCTCAGAGTCCTTACCTGGAGAGACAGGCCTCTACAAAGGTTTCTCAGGGTCAAACCTCCAATAGTTCTATTATTTTTTTTTTCGTTCCATATGCTAAAATCAGCTCACCTATATAGACGGAACAAGATTAGACATGAATTTTGAAGTGAAGCTGGATACTTTATATTATTCTATCTAGTTTTTAAAAATATGTTTGAAACATAATAAAAATGAAAGAAACAAACATTACGATTACTAACTGGCATTATTAAGAGGAAATATTGACAGGCAGCTAGATTCAGTTTTAAAGTTAATTGAAAATGCTCTCACGGAGCTAAAAAATTAAGTTTAAAAACAATGACATTATTTCAACAAGTGTTAATCTGTGAGTGCTGGGATTATAAACCGTTTTGTTGTCTTATACTTCTGCAATTAAGTTTTAATAACTATTACTTTTTAAATGAAGTTAACTGTAAATACCAGTCTTAAATTTATACCTTGTTTTAGATAACAATTTTAAAATGCTGTTTGCCAGGAGGGAAAGGGAGTGTTATTTAATTAACGTGGGTTTTTTATTTTTATTTTTTACATCTTTCTTTAAACGGTTTTAAAAATTAATTCCGTTGTTTTATAAGCTTTATCTCTGCAGTTAGAACAGCCCAGCTAGAAAATCTGAAAAAACACGGGTCCTGGAGCCGAGACTAAAGCAATGTATTAATTAAATGGGGCATCAGACAGGGAGGACGACAGTAGATACCAAAATACGACGCGAGGACAGGTGAGGGTGGCCGGCTGCAGGGAGCTGGGGACGCAGTGAGGGCTTGTTCTCCCCCACTAAGCCCCCCTCCTATCCTCATTGCTACCCAGGAGGCCCCAAGCTGCCCCTCTCGCCCCTAGGCTGGCCCGGGGAAGGGTGGTGGAGGGTAGGGGGCGAGGCGAATAGGAAAGGGGTGCAGATGATGAAATGCCGGCGGGCGGGAACTGCTAGGCCAGCGCGCAGACCTCTCTCTCGTTAGCAGATCTGGGAGTTGTCAGGGATCGAAGGGAGTAACGTCTTCCGAGGCCCAGCCAGGCACTGAAATCTGCTTGCAGGGCAGCAGCGGCCCCTCCAGTACGTCCTACTCGGTCAGACCAAGAGCTTAAGCGGTGCTTCCAGTCAGCATATATTTATGGCAAAGTCTTTAGGGACAATAAACCCAAATCGTCCCTATAGCTCCCATCTAGTTCTTTAAAATTATTTTTCTTAATTATCTATTACAAAAGTACTACGTGGTAATCATAATTTCACCCAGTTTAAAACCCTCCAACACTACTGGAGTTTATTCTCTCTAAGTCAACAACCCTTCGGATCATTGAAACGGTCACCGAGGACCCAGAATCTACTTCCCCACCATTCTCAGGCCCCTCCGATGCGGGCGCATGTCCGGAGCCATTCCCACGGTTTCCAGAGCCCTGCCCCACCCCTCGGCCGCCCCCCCCCTCCCCCCCGCGGCCCGCATGGAGATCAGGGTCACCTTCCGACACCAAGCAGGGCTGGCTGCTCCCTGGCAAACCCTCTCTGTTTCTGATATTTCTAGCTTGAGGACACGTAGGCTTTCTCACCACACCGCACCCACTGGTGGGCAGTCGAGGCCTCCGCCAGCTCTGCCCGTGAACTGCAACGAAGCCAGAGCGGTGAAGGTCTGGGCATCTCACGAAACCATGAGCGCCCTGGAAGAGTGGCGGAAGAAGGGGGGTGGTAATCACAGGACTGAGTCGGCTCCTGGGTCCACTGGTGCGGCCCGCGAGTGACAGATAACCTGGCACTTCCTATGGGTTTGGGGAGCGGACTCCGGATAAGGTTCGATCTCACTTCTTGATGGGTCCTTAGGGCTTGATTTAAGTCCTGCGGCCTTTGCGAGGCTAAACACCGTCGGAGTTCGGTGCTCTAAAGACAGGCTTTGTGAGAGCTCCGCCGGAGTGGCTTCGGAACTGGGAGGCAGCTGGCTCTAGGAAGGCTGGGGGAGGACTCGTGCCGCTCCTGCACCCGTCCGTCCCCACCTCCATCGGGGCTCAGGGTCGAGCGCCGGCCGCGGCCAGAGGGGTGATTATTACCTGCGTCTCCGAGAGGCTGAGGCTGCCGGCCAGCTGCTTCCGCTCGGCGCCCACCACGTAGTGGTTCTTCTCGAAGGCGCGCTCCAGTCGCAGCAGCTGCGAGGGCGAGAAGGCCGTGCGGATCCGCTTGGGCTTGCGCGCGAAGGGGCCGTGCAGAAGCAGCCCGTCCTGGGGCACGTCGCTGGCTGCGGCCGCGCCGCCGACGGCAACACAGGCAGGTAGACAGAGAAAAGGGGCGCCGTGAGCCTAAGCCCGGGGCCCTCCCTCCCACTCGCACATGCCCTTGAGAGCTCTGCTAACCTCCCCAATCCTTGATCTCCCTACTCTTTCTCCCCTTTCCTTTTTGCCACCCCTTTCTTAAGTCTGCTCTCCCCTCTAATACCCACACTCCCCACACTCCCCGTCGGGCACGCGTGGAATTGCAGCGCTGCTTGTTGGCCAGGAGGTGGGCCCGAGCCCGGTGGGGCGCCCACCAGCCCAAATCACAGTGCCTGGAGCAACCCAAGAGGCCAAGGCGTGGGAAAAGTCCCTTATCTCTCTTCCTTCGCTTGTCCCATCATATCTTCCTCAAAGTTAACACACCAAGAGTAGAGAAAGAGCTGGGTGTCAGGAAGATGATATGCAGCGCTGCTTGTTGGCCAGGAGGTGGGCCCGAGCCCGGTGGGGCGCCCACCAGCCCAAATCACAGTGCCTGGAGCAACCCAAGAGGCCAAGGCGTGGGAAAAGTCCCTTATCTCTCTTCCTTCGCTTGTCCCATCATATCTTCCTCAAAGTTAACACACCAAGAGTAGAGAAAGAGCTGGGTGTCAGTCAGATGATAAGGGGAACAGTGAAACTATTAGGCATTCCCACACCACACACAGATTCAGGAACTAAGGGATACCCAAAGAACTCTCCTTTCACACCTGCTTAAACCAGCTTTGTAGCTAAATGCTCAGGCCACCAGCTCTTTGAAAATTCCTACCAAAAGGCCCAGGTTCTACTTTGTAAATGGTAAAAATAGGCCAGCAGCTAGGTCAACTAGCCAGGTAGTACCTGGAAGTCTAAGGTCAGGTTCTTCTTTTCTTCCCTACCACTCTCCCTCTTCCCCTCTGGTAAAACCCTCTCCCCACAGGAGACTCCCACTGCTTTCTGGTGGGGAAAGACCTTGCTTCATTCCTGAATAGTCCCCTGCTAAAGAAACATGTTTATAAATGTCTAGATATCATCTCTCTCTCTAATATATATAGATATAGATATGTTGGTTTCTGCATGGGCGTGTGTAAATATATACTCCAGCCTCCCTACTGTCTTTTTCTCCCATCTACCATACAAAATTTTCAGAGTGTGAATGTCCCTTGGCAGATGCTGTCCACCGTAGGGGGACTCAGCTCCTACATGCAGGAGGAGGGGCTGACATTAGGCTGGATGAGGGCTGGTGTGGTGGGGTCAGGTACTACAAAAGCCAAAAAAACTTCTATCCACAGTCCCAGTCTCAATGCAATACCCACCCTCCACTCTGCCCAGGCTCTCACACAATCTCTGGCTTGGTTGCACATGCTAACAGAGCTAGAAATAGGCACTGACATCACCCGTGTATGTCATGCAGTGGCATACAACAGGCCCCCTGACCCACCAACAATGCAGAACCCTAGATGGAATGTTTTGACAGAGTTAGCTGTTGAGATTGACTGATCCAATTAATTTCTTCAGAAATGGCCACTGGTTTGACTCAATTTGACCTGTTGTTTGTTCTTAAGACAATTGTTTGGATCATTTAGTTGAGATCTCCCATATCTGAAAATATCTCTGTAAGAGAAGCAGGGCACATAATTGAGATGCTGTTGCTAAAACTCTCCAGGTTCATGTCCCTCTGCTGGTGGAAACTGCCTGACATTACTTTCTTCAAGTCCCTGGGCTTCAGACACTGACAGAGGTGAACTTTATTGCTGGAGATTTCTATAGAACAGGATTGTCTAGGAAGAAGAGGCTAGTTCTTGGGGTTAGGGGGACAAAGTCCCCTGACCCCAACAAGTCACTAACTTCCAGTCACCTTATCCATTTTAAGTGGCTAGATCCGTGCTGCTACAAAAGAGAGTGGGCTCACATCATAGAAAGATGGAGAGGGGACATTCTGCCCATTGGACCCTTCAAGATGGGGGCAGGCCCAGAACTCTCAGGCCTGACAGCAGGAAGAGAAGTTAACTTGTAGTAGTAGAGGGGAACAGATGGTCAGGGAGGTGGTCTGGCAGAGAGTGGTAAGAGGGAGAAAAGCGGGGCAGCCGATCCAGGTAAGAATAAGAAGGATGAAAGTCTGGAGTAGGAGCAAGTGTGATAGGCCAGAGAAAGGTGGAAGAGGTAGATGGGAAGCAGACACTTCTTGTTGATGTTCAAATAAATTGCTTCAAAAAGCAATATTTTCTGAGTCCAGGCAAAGTCCCAACAGTGGTTTCCTCTGGACAAATGATCTGGAGAGAAAGAGAAAGCCTAGCTCATGCTAGCACTTGGAAGGTTTGGTTCTAGCAGCTAGACTGGCCCAGGCTGGTCAGAAGTGGGGTGGCAGTGGAGAGACCCATAAATGTGAGTCAATGGGATGCAGAAACGTGAAAGGCAGTGTGGGGCTGAGGAAGCAGAACTGCAGTCTATCTCAGTGTGATTCGATGGCTGTTTTATAATTCAGTGGTTTGTGTCAGTCACTTGTGTGGTGGAGTTCTCTGTATTTGTCTTTACAAACCCAACGTAGATGATGGAAGCAACAAGCTTTCCTGTCATTCTGACATATGCATGTCCCTTCGCCTGCAGTCTGAGTATTTTAGAGGAAAGCTAGGTTGTTTGGTGTCTGCCTCATTGAGAGAATGGCCCCAGTTTATTGTCATGTCCTATTGAGGAAGATACCATGCGTCTACATGCATGTGCAGAAACATCAAGGGTCCTTCTGACCCAACTATGAAAAAGCAGGCAGCAGAAAAATTATTCAAGATGCTGGTAAGTGACGACAGACTTGATTTCAAAAGAAGCAGGGCTTTTCTCTTTAAGGAAAAGAATGTTTAGTACAAACCTAACCAGCATGAGAAGCTGATCAATAGCCCCATATTTCTGTAAGGACAAGGGTGGTGCCTTAGGTGCCTATGTGCAAGGACCACTCTGACCTATGGGGAGGGAGCCTTGATCATCCCTAACGCAGTTTCAGTTTCCCTTAACTGAACTATAAGGGCAAAACAAGCTTGGAGCTGAAGTGCGATGTGGCCTGTTTTCATCCAATAATTCTGGGTGGTGAGAGTGGGCTGTCAGTTTCAGACAGGGACAGATGAGAAAGTAGAACAGGGCTGGCTTAGGTTTCTTTTTAGCGAGGAACTGAACCCCACTCCACCTCGTTTTCCTACAGCCTCTCTTTGTGGGCCACTTCAAGGCAATGCCTTGGAACTAGCAATGGAGACTCCCAAGCACGAGGAGGCTGAAAGTGGGAGCTAGGAATCCAGAGGGCCCGGGGCTCGAGCTGCAGTCCCTTCTGCAGAGGCCGCTGCCCGCCTGGGGCCTGATGGCCAGGCGGAGGGGCCCGAGGCTAAGAGAGGGAGAGGCAGCGGAGATAACCTTATTCCTCCTCCTCCTGCCGGAACAAAGGCTCTCTTTGAAGCACCGGACCATTACCATCTACAGTCTCAGAGGGCTGGGTCTCCCACAGCCCCTCCCGACGCTGCTCTCTGGGTTGGAAAGTTCCTGCTGTCCGGGAAATAGCATCGAAGTGCAGCCAACACTCGGCCTCCACCGGCACCTCCCCTTCACGCCTCGAAAGCTGTCCCCTCTTCCTCGCTTCAGGGTTCCCGCCGGCTGGTCCCGATCGTCCCGCTCTGGCTTTTCCTCTTCCATCGCCTTGCTTAGCGGAGAAGCCGCTTCCCTGCGCGCCGGGACCGCGCTGCCGGAGAGCGCAGAGCACAGAGCGCAGACATGTTCCTTTTCGTTCGTGTGGGGTTTCGTTTCTTGTATTAAAACGGGCTGAAAAGAGCATCGCAGAGACCGGGTTCTCTAGAAAACGCGGCGCGGGAGGGCCTGGGCCGGCTCGGCTCGCAGACCCGGGACCCGGCTGAGCCCGCAGGGCACTCGGCTGCCGGGGCGCGCACGCGCTGCCTCGACGCTGACCGGCCCCAAAGCCAAAAGTATCAGGGTTCAAAGTCCTTCAGTGCCCAGCTGATTGCCGAGTTCAAAAATGCGGCCACCCTTGGCTCCATCTCCGCGTCCAGACACGGTTCTTAAGAGAAAAATCCAAACGTTTTCCAACTCGACAACGTGCTCTCCGGGACTGATGGCTTAGGGAGCGGCGGCAATTTCTGAAAGGATTTTGCGGAGGATTTATCTGTCCTCGCCTGGTTGGGGATGCTCAGAGCCGGAGCTGGATCTCTTGCGAGACATCCTGGCCCGTGGACCCCCAAGCCGGCGCGGGCGAAGCCAGAGGCGGGAAAGGCGGCTCCCAGCGTAAGGCGCGGGTCGGAAGCCGAGGGCGCCGACGCAGAGGCCTTCTCCCGCGGAGCAGAGACCATCAGTCTTAGGACCTGCTCTGCCCTTTCTTCCAAGCCGCTGTTCCTCCAACCATCTTCCTAAACGCTGGTCCCTCCTCCACCTGGCCCGAAGGTTTACAAACAGCCGCGACTCTCAATTGGCGGGCGCTGGATTTCGAGATCCAGGCTGAGGTCTGAGCCCATGGAGGACCGAGCCCATGGAGGATCGAGGCGATTTGCTCAGTTTTGAACAAAATTTAATTTTATCAGTTAACATTGATTTTTAATTGACAAGTTTTTTGCCCCAAGCGCCTGACACCGTAAGCATTTTTCTCCCCGGAAGATTTGGGCAAATCTTTGAAATCTCCATGGGAAACAAGTCTGCCCACAAAAATTCTTGTTCAAGTAATCACATTCTCTTATTTTGTGGGGTCCGTTGGGCAAGTGTCTACTAGCTAGATGGAACTGAGAAAACATTCTGACAAATCGGGACGTGGAAAAGCGGCTTTCCGTGAAATAAACAGCTATAGCTAAAGCTTCAAGAGATCATTTTTCTCCTATTATCTAGATAATTATACCAAACATCCAGTTTACTTTGACTGTGTAGACCCGGTTTACCGTCAGATTAGCTCCAGGAGCCGAAGCTCTAGACCTGTCCTTTTCATTTATTTCACTAAAAGCCGGGTTACCTAGCTCTGAGTCATGAAACCTCATAAGGCCGAGGTCTGTCAACAATAACAAAATAAAGCCGGAAACTAAAGCAATTACTGCACAAATTAAGGCTACTTTAAAAAAGAAAAGAAAAAACAAACTCCAACAAATTCAAGGAAGAGAACGAACTCCAACAAATGAAACTCTCTTTCCTTTGGGAAAGT